GCACTCCTCCCCCCAGCAGATCCACACTCCCACCCAAGCTGGTGTCATCTATAAACTGACTGAGGGTGCCCTCGATCCCCTCGTCCAGATGATGGAAAAAGATATTAAACAGAACTGGCCCCAAAACTGAGTCCTGGGGGGCACAGCTTGTGACCGGCCACCAACTGAATTTAACTCCGTTCACCACAACTCTCTGGGCCTGCCCATCCAGCCAGTTTGTTACCCAGCAAAGAGTGCACCCATCCAAGCCACGAGCAACCAGTTTCTCCAGGAGGAGGCTGTGGGAAACGGTGTCAAAAGCTTCGCTGAAGCCCAGGTAGACAACACCCGCAACCTTTCTCTCACCCACTAAGCGGGTCACCTTGTCATGGAAGATCAGGTTGGTCAAGTAGGACCTGCCTTTCATAACCCCACGCTGACTGGGCCTGATCGCCTGGTTGTCCTGTACATGCTGCGTGATGACACTCAAGATGATCTCCTCCATGACCTTCCCCAGCACCGAGGTCAGGCTGACAGGCCTGGAGTTCCCCAGATCCTCCCTCTGTCCCTTCTTGTAGATGGGCATCACATTTGCCAACCTCCAGTCAACCGGGACTTCCCCAGTGAGCCAGGACTGCTGATACAGGATGGGAAGTGGCTTGGTGAGCACTTCTGCCCGGTCCCTCAGTACCCTTGGGTGGATCCTGTCCGGCCCCATAGACTTGTCTGTGTGTCAGTAGTCTAGCAGGTTGCTAAGCATTTCCCCTTGGATTCTGGGGGCTTCATTCCACTTCCCGTCCCTGTCTTCCAGCTCAGGGGACTGGGTACCCCGAGAACAACTGGTCTGACTTTCAAAGACTGAGGCAAAGAAGGCATTAAGTACCTCAGCCTTTTCCTCGTCCTTTGTCTCTATCTTCCCCCCGCCTCCAATAAAGGATGGAGACTCCCCTCAGCCCTCCTTTTGTTGCTAATGTATTTGTAGAAACATTTTTAATTGTCTTTTATGTCAGTAGCCAGATTAAGTTCCAGGTGGGCTTTGGCGCTTCTAATTTTCTCCCTGCATAACCTCACGGCATCCTTGTCCTCCTGAGTTGCCTTGCCCCTTCCTCCAAAGGTCATAAACTCTCCTTTTTTTCCCAAGTTCCAGCCAAAGCTCCCTGTTCAGCCAGGCCAGTCCTCTCCCTCGCTGGCTCATCTTTTGGCACACAGGGACAGCCCACCCCTGCGCCTTTAAGATTTCCTTTTTGAAGAATGCCCAGCCTTCCTGGACTCCCCTGCCCTTCAGGGATTCTGTCAACCAGGCACCTAAACTGGCCAAAGTCTGCCCTCCGGAAGCCCAAGACAGCAGATCTGGTGACCCCCTCCTTACTCCTCCAAGAACTGAAAACTCTATCGTTTTGTGATTGCTGTGCCCAAGACAGCCTCCGACCACCACAGCACCCACAAGTCCCGCTCTGCTCGCAAATGACGGGTCCAGCGGGTGCCTCCCCTCGCTGGCTCACTCGCCAGCTGTCTCAGGAAATTCTCTTCCACACACTCCAGCAACCTCCGAGACCGTTTCCTCTCTGCTGTGTTGTATCGCCAGCAGACAGCTGGTAAGTGAAGTCCCTCACAAGAACAAGGGCTAGCGATTGTGAGGTCTCCCAGCTGCTTATAGAGTATTTCACCTGCCTCTTCATCCTGGTTGGGTGAGCTACAACAGACTCCCACCATGCTATCAGCCTTGTTGGCCTTTCCCGTGATCCTTATCCATAAACACTCAACCTTATTGTCACCATTGTTAAGCTCTAGACAATCAAAACACTCCCTAACGTGCAGGGCTACCCCACCGCTGCCCCTTGCCTGTCCCCTCTGAAGGGTTTACAGCCATCCATGGCAGCACTCTGGTTGTGCCAGTCATCCCACCGTGTTCCCATGATGGCAACTACGTCATAGCTTTCCTGCTGCACAATGGCTTCCAGCTCCTCCTGTTTCCTGCCCATGCTGCGTGCTTTGGTGTAGAAGCACTTCAGCTGGGCTATTGATCCCGCCACCTTTGGGGGGGAAGAATCCTGAATTGCTATGTAACCATTCCCAGGCACCTCCGCGGTTTCTAACACAGCCATAACCCTTGCGTCTTTGCTGCCACATGGATCTCCATCCCCTACTGCCACTGGGACGGCAGACCGAAGGACCTCGCTAGCACACCGTCCCTCAAACATCAGCCCCCAGGCTTATCTCCAGCGAGGCTGGTTTTATCCCTTTCCCCCTTCAAACCCAGTTTAAAGCTCTTTCAGTGAGCCCCGCAAACTCCTGCGCACAGATCCTTTCCCCCCCTCAAGGCAGGCGTACCCCGTCTGTCGCCAGCAGGCCTGGTGTCACGTAAGCTGACCCATCATCAAGAAACCCAAAATTCTGCCGGTGACACCAGGTTTGGAGCCAGGTATTGATCTCCTGGCTCTTCCTGTGTCTTCCCTCACCATTCCCTGCAACTGGAAGGATAAAGCACAACACTGCTCATGCTCCTGATCCCTTAACCAGTCGTCCCAAGGCCCTGGAGTCTCTCTTGATTGCCCTCAGACTTCTAGCTGCAACTTCATTGCTGCCTACCTGAAAAACCAATAACGGATCGTAATCTGAGGGCCGTACCAGGGCAGGAAGCTTCCTCTTCACATCTTTAACCTGGGCCCCAGGGAGGCAGCAGACCTCCCTAGGAAGTGGGTCCAGTTGGCATGTTGGGCCTTCTGTTCCCCTCAGAATCAAGTCTCCCATGGTTTTTTTAGTTTACGGAAATGGTTTTGATGCAGGGTGTAGGCTGACTTAACCTCGGCAACACCTCCAAGCTGGATGAACCATCATCCTTGACAGTGTTCGGTTCCGCTTGCAGAGCCTCATCCCCATTACGCAAGGTCGCCTGGGCAGGTGGGGCAGCCACGGAGGAGACGCGCCTGCTGCGCGTGTCGCCATCGGCCCCTGTCCCTCCAGTCACCGTGTTCAGCCAGGCGGACAGAGGGTAGGGAATCCTCTGTATCGTGTGTCCTGTCTGCCTGTTGGGCCTGTCCCAAGGAAGTAGGGCATGATTCCATCATTCTGTCTCCCCCTCGCTCTCCCTGATACTCCTCAACCTCCTCCCAGAGCTCTGTCACTGAGCGGAGGAGCCGCTCACCCTGGGCGCAGCTCCCACTGGGTGCTCGCTGCGTGGTGGGTGGCCATGGCCTTCTGCCAGGTGGGCGCCATGGCTCCCCGGTCGGGCTGGCAGAGCTTCAGCCCCTTCCGCACACCCTGAGGTGTGAACAGCCGCGCCAACTGCTGCACCGCACCCTGCACGCCTGCCCTCTTTGCAGCGCTCCCAGCCGCTCGCGCTCCCTAAGGGCTTCTTTTACAGGTGTGGGGGCTTGGCCGCTGTTGCTCCTGGCCCTGCCCAGGTCTCATCAGCCACTGTTGTGTGAGCTGTGGGCTCCCGGCAGCTCCCAGCTCCCCTGGAGGTTCCCTCGGTTCAGGAACCCCCCCCATGCACTGCGCTTGATCACCAGCCTCAGAGCCGCTCGCCTCAGCGACTGAGGAAGGCAGAACGTGCGCAGCAGGGGCCAATGCAGCCAGGGAGGCACCACGACCCTCGGTGGCTTGGTCCCCTCCCAGCACGCAGTGCCGTGCGTCACTGCCCTGGTTTCAGCTGGACAGAGTTAATTTTCTTCCTAGCAGCGGACACAGTGCTGTTTGGGATTTAGTACCACAAGAATGCTGATAACACCCTGACGGTTCAGTTGCTGCTCAGCGGTGCTTACACCAGTCAAGGACTTCTCAGCTCTGCTGGGGCACAAGGAGCTGGGAGGGGGCACAGCCAGAACAGCCAACCCCAACTGGCCCCAGGGCTAGTCCAGTCCATATGACGTCACTCCCCAGTATAGAAACTGGGGGAAGAAGAAGGAAGGTGGGGACGTTGGGAGCGATGGCATTTGTCTCCCCAAGTCACCGTTATGCATGATGGAGCCCGGCTGTCCTGGGGATGGTTGAGCCCCTGCCTGCCGTTGGGAAGCAAGGAATCGTTTCCTTGCTTTGCTTCGCTTGCATGCACGCGGCTTTTGCTCTCCCTATTAAAGCATCTGTGTCTCAGCCCAGGAACTTTCTCACATCTACTCTTCTGATTGTCTCCCCCATCCTGCTGCAGGGGAGCAAGCGAGCGGCTGGGTGGGGCCGAGCTGCTGGCCGGGGTTAAACCACGACATTCACGTAGAGCAAGCACTCCGGGTAATCACTTCCATACCCAACAGGGTGGCAACAGGCGACAGCCGGGCCTCTAGAGCCAGCGCCCCCAGCCGCCGTGGCACCAGTCAGACGTGGGCACA